AAAAAAAAAAAAAAAAAAAAGTGGATTCAGTGCATGACCAAGCCATTGGCACTCTAATCTCACTTACCATACTCATTGTATTTTTTTAACATCTTTATTGGAGTATAATTGCTTTATAATGGTGTGTTAGTTTCTGCTTTATAACATAGTGAATCAGCTATACATTTACATATATCCCCACATCTCCTTCTTGCGTCTCCCTCCCACACTCCCTATCCCACGCCTCTAGGTGGACACAAAGCACTGAGTTGATCTCCCTGTGGTATGCAGCTGCTTCCCACTAGCTATCTAGTTTACATTTGGTAGTATGTATAAGTCCATGCCACTCTTTCACTTCATCCCAGCTTACCTTTCCCCCTCCCCATGTCCTCAAGTCCAGTCTCTACGTCTGAGTCTTTATTCCTGTCCTAACCCTAGGTTCTTCATTGTATTTTATTGTTTGCCTCCTTTTGTGAAAATACAGAATTTCACAAGGGCTGAGATCTTTTATCTGTTTGTTTCACCAGAGTATCACCAGTGCAAAGAATAGTGCCTGATAAGTGGTAAACACAATAAATACTTGTTGAATTTTAAATGGTTTTTATTTACAATTAAAATAAAGTGTGATAATGGAAAGGAATAGTTTTCACAAAAGGAATTAAACTAGTGAATGAATCATACCAACTCCAGTTATCTTGCTCTTCTTTTACTATGAATCAGTTTTACAATGCTTCAAAGTTAGTTGTAGATGTTACCTTGAATCTGGCCTACATGGTTATAGCTTCCTTGAGCCTTTTTCTTAACTTTGAATACGGAGTACTTGTATTGTTTCACAAGAGTTCTGGACAGTTGTCACAGAGAAAAAAAAAAAAAACTCAAAACAAAATCTAGTCATAGTTTCTTCATGGAATAAGCCGTCTTGTATTTTAGTGCCTATACAATTTCAATTAGTTTTACCTGTATTTTCTCATTGATTTATTTTGCAGTTTATCAAGACTCCTCAAGGGTCATTTAGTTAAAAATCTTTTTAAAGAAATAATTCTCAAATGGCTATCATTTCCTGAATGGTCATGGATGTACTGAATTGTTTAAATAGAAGGCCTTGGTCATTTCTGAGAATATATTTAAAAGAGAATGTCTATGTGTAGCCATATATAAAAATACAGCCATGTAGAAGGAAATGCATGCACATAGTTAAATTACTTTCACTTTCAGGTCAAGCTCTCAAAAGAATCCACTGCTTTCCCATAAAGATTTATGTAATTTATTTAATCCAACTCTTGTTTGTTAATCGTAAAGATTGCTTATAAATGAACATTTTTTGGTATTCACAGTGAAAAGTCACAGAGACTACACAGTAGTTACAAAATCTGTATTGGGAATGTCAACCTCATTGTGAAAGATTTTTTTTAGAGAATATAGGTTGGTGAGAATGACTGACTTTTCCAGATGCATATATTGCTTGAGATTGGAAAGACAGTGATAAAGGAAGTTATTTGACTCTTGTCAGAGTGATGAATTTGGACAATAAAGGAAAGAATATAAAAATTGACATGGGAAATATTTGGAAAGTTTCAGCAATATAGTTACAGATGCTTATTGGTAAACTTCGCAGCACCTCCAATTTTACATTCATGTCCACAGAAAAAAAGCTATATTTCCATGCCAGGCAAATTTGTCACATTAACAATAGTTCACCTACATCATATAAAATAAATTTCTTTCCAACAGATTTTACACTTCCAAAGCCCCTTGCTATTTAGTCCCATTTGCACTAATATGCTTACATATTAAATGGCTCATAATTTGAAGGGCACATACTTAAATGATGGATCCCTGATTTACTGTTAGATTTAAGAACCTGACTCAATGTTACCTTGTCAATGCAATACTTATGCTTTAGAATTACTTGTTTCATCGTATTTTATCAGGCATATGAAGTCATGTTCTCTAGTGAACTCCCAAAAGTGATTTGCTAGACTCTTAATTTTAAATTGCTTTCACTCAGACACAGATTCCCAGATGCCAAGAACAGGCTATAGCTTTGTTTTTTTGTTTTTTTTTTGTGGTACGCGGGCCTCTCACTGTTGTGGCCTCTCCCGTTGCGGAGCACAGGCTCCGGACGCGCAGGCTCAGCAGCCATGGCTCACGAGCCCAGCCGCTCCGCGGCATGTAGGATCTTCCCGGTCCGGGGCACGAACCCGTGTCCCCTGCATCGGCAGGCGGACTCTCAACCACTGCGCCACCAGGGAAGCCCTATAACTTTGTTTTTAAACAATTTTCAGTACAGAAATTTATCAATAAACCATTGAGGTTTTGGGGGGAAAATACTTAATCAGATATTTGAAAATATAAGGAAGAAGGAAAGGGATTTTAAGAACTCTGCATACATACATACAAAATTCATACAAATATATATGTCTGTAAATCTAATAGCTCCCTTTTCATATTGGTATACTGGCTCATTATTTAATCTTTCAGGTCTTATTGTCTATGTTGTCATCCATTTCCCTGATAGTGAAAATCTGGTGCTACTAAAATGTACTTGTGATTCGTATTATTTGTATGATAGTCTAAATTGCTGAGTCAGTGTGACCTGGGATCTATGTTGGGTCTCTCCATATCTGAAACTGGCATTCTCCCTCATGCTGTTGCCTCTTTAACTGGAGAAGGCCTGCTCCATTAAGAGAAGACTATGCTCAATTGGGAAAAATCAAAATTTGGCCATTCAGAGTGGAAAAACTTCATGTAAAAGGAAACTCTGCAACTCAAGGACTTTAGGCTCAATAGAGTTATTCTTGGCTTTCAACCACAGGTGCAGATCCCACCAAGTGTTGTTAACCCCCTCTGAAAATGGGGTCCAAATGAAAAGGCCTTCACCTTAACTCAATCAGAACTCCAGTATTGATCCTCCAAATTACAGGATAATTGGTAAGTTCTGCTAATGTTTTGACCTGTAATCCATGAATTTTATTTATTCATCCCAGTGTTTCATTGATTTCATGATTTAGTAAATCAATAATTGTTTTATGTAATGTTTTGGGCCCTGGACCAAATAGACCAAAGTCCCTGCTCTTGAGTACTTACTTTCTGATAGGAAAGCATACTATTAGCTGCTTGTCAGGGACAATGAGGTAAAATCCTCTCAGTGTAGGATACATAGCATCAATAAGGAAGTACCAGCATAGCCGAATTTTACAAAAATGGTTAACAGAACAGAAAGCAATGGAAAAAGGAAAAAAAAAATCAGTGTGGTGACTAAAACAATGTCCTAACAACTCAGGCTGATAAAGCAGCATACGTATAAATATAAACATCTAATTTGGGATTAGGGTGATTTGGGAAGGGCAGTCCCCTATATTATATATTATGGATTGATCTTTTAAGGTGAAAATAATTTTAAGATAAATTAACATATGCTATATTATTTGAATAACAGAATATTTATACAGAATTATTTTAAAATGCTTTTATGGTCATCAGTTCATTTGAAAGCTTTGTGAGTTAAGGCATGGAAAGTATTATTATTCTGAGATTCATGGAAGTAATTGGCTCAGCAAGAATTGGGGCAGAGATTCAAATCTAAGCCTGCACTCTATCACAATGCCATATGTCCCCACACATTTGCTATTGTGTTTGGGAAGCATAATATGTACGTGGTAATTTTACTCAGGACACACACACAGCCTCAAATTCTTATTCTAGGAGCCAAAGTGACAAAGGACATAGCAATATTAGGTATTTGGGGGATAGATCTTCATGGGACTGCAAACAGTAAGAACTACCTAAAATTGGAAACATATATAGACAGAGCAGTCATCAGAGCACCAAAGTGGCATGATACTCTCATTTCCCTTTATTCAAACAAAACAAAACAACCAAAAGCAATGAATCCAATCTCTCTCTGAAACTTTTAAAGATACCTTTATCTCCAGTGTCCTAAAATTTCATTCATCATAGTGGTTCTCTATTCTGAAAACCCAGAGTGTTTAAGTATGGAAATTTACTTCCTCGGATAATTTACCTTCTAATAGGTGCATTGTTTTCTCCTTCTTCTAGCTCCAATTAATCAGATATTGTGCTTCCTACATTGACTGTTTGATTTTCACTTTTCTGCCCTATTTTGCAGCCTTTGCCTTTCTGGTTCCATTTTAGGATTATTTCTCAGCCATATAGTTTGAACTGTTCATTAAATTTTTATATTTCTGCCTACATACTTTAATTTTCCAGAGCTATGTTTTACTCTCTGATTGTTCCTTTGCAATAACTTCTGTTCTTATTGCATGGATACAATATCTTCCTGTCTCTATGAGAAAATTAATTATAATTATTTGCGATATTCTTCTATCCCTACCATTGTTTTACCTCCATTTATTTATGTTATCGTCATTTTTATGTGAGCCTTTTTAAAAGTGAATTTTGGTCTGTGCTTTGTATTCGTACTTAAAAATGAAGCATTATAAAGCTCTCTAGACTTCCCATGTATATAAGTGAAAGAAAATCTATGTTTGTCTATCCTCACAAACACTTCTGACACCAAATATGTGGGACTATCACACCAAACAATTCTTCATTTCTTTGTGGACACCAGCTGGGTGCCCTGCAATTTAATTATTTCTGACAATAATTATATGGAATTAGTGCAGACCCCAAAGGTTAGGGGCTCAGTCCCACAAAACCATCCTCCACTTCAGAGGCAAATCATAAGTTTATAAGAGGAGCACACAACCATTAAATAATTCAATATAAACTTAACAGTAAGAGCAATTTGGATTGAATTCAATCCAAATAAGTTGAATTCAATCCAAATAAGTTGAATTCAATCCATAAAGACTGTCATTCATTTTATAAACACAATTATTAACATGGAGTGTCTTTGTTTTTCAGCCACCTTTCAAACTCCATACCTCTACATCTCAGCCTTCTCCTAATACTCACATTTTTATTTGCAGTTTTAAATTCAACACTGCTAAAGTTGAAATCAGTCTTCCCTTGGTTCCCATAAGCTTGCACCTCTTTTCAATTTTCTAATTATGCTAATAACTTCACCATCTTCTCGTTTACTAAACAATAAGACATGTAAATAGTGCTGCAATGAACATTGGGGTGCATGTGTCTTTTTGAATTATGGTTTTCTTAGGGTACATGCCCAGGAGTGGGATTGCTGGGTCATATGGTAGTTCTATTTTCAGTTTTTTAAGGAACCTCCACAGTGGCTACATCATTTTACGTTTCCACCAACAGTGCAAGAGGGTTCATTTTTCTCTGCACCCTCTCCAGCATTTATTGTTTGTAGATTTTTTTATTATGGCCATTCTGACCAGTGTGAGGTGATACCTCATTGTAGTTTTGATTTGCATTTCTCTAATAATTACTAATATTGAGCATGTTTTCATGTGCCAACCTAAATGTCTATTGACAGATGAATGGATAAAGAAGTTGTGGTACATATATACAATGGAATATTACTCAGCCATTAAAAAGAACGAAATTGGGTCATTTGTAGAGATGTGGATGGACCTAGAGGCTGTCATACGGAGTGAAGTAAGTCAGAAAGAAAAACAAATATAATATGTTAATGCATATATGTGGAATCTAGAAAAATGGTACAGATGAATATATTTGCAAATCAGGAATAGAGACACAGATGTAGAGAACAAACATATGGACACCAAGGGGGGAAAGTGAGGTGGTGGGGTGGTGGTGGTGGGATGAATTGGGAGGTTGGGATTGACATATATACACTACTATGTATAAAACAGATAACTAATGAAAATGTGCTGTATAGCACAAGGAACTCTACTCAGTTCTCTCTGGTGACCTAAATGGGAAGGAAGTCTAAAAAAGAGGGGATACATGTATACATATAGCTGATTCACTTCACTGTACAGCAGAAACTAACCCAACATTGTAAAGCAACTATACCCCAATTAAAAAATAAAATAGAGAGAAACCTCAAATCAAAAAAAAAAAACAATAAGACATGGCCTCACCCTCTCAATTCCTCTGGGTGTCTCTTTGTCATCTCCATATCTGGTGATTATCAACTCCTAAAGCATCTTTTTCTCCTCTCCTCTGTTACTACCTCAGTTCACATTTCCTAACTTTATCTCACCTCCAGTCTCTTTCCCTCCAGTTTATCCTCTTCATGATCATACTAGAACACAAACCTGATTATGTTACTCTCCTCAAAGGAATAGTTTGCCTTTCACTATAACTCTTGTTTTTGTTTTTTGCTTTTTTTTGTGGTACGCAGGCCTCTCACTGCTGTGGCCTCTCCCGTCGCAGAGCACAGGCTCTGGACGTGCAGGCCCAGCAGCCATGGCTCACGGGCCCAGCCGCTCCGCGGCATGTGGGATCCTCCCGGACCGGGGCACGAACCCGTGTCCCCTGCATCGGCAGGCGGACTCTCAACCACTGCGCCACCAGGGAAGCCCTCACTATAACTCTTTAAAATTATATTTTTGATAATATTTACCAGCCTATCATTTTAACCTCATCATGTAATACTTCTCTACATGTTCTAAGCACAACCTATTTATTCTTACTTTCATACTATATCCTGTCATTCTTTTCTCCCTCTACTGTGTAATTACTCTTAATTGACAAGTTAAAATGTCACTACCCCTCTAAGACAAGGTATGTATTTCACTAGCAAATAAAAAATAGCTTCTACTTATTAATATATTAACTTAGAATCTATTATACAAATCTTCCAAATGACAGTTGACTTTCTTAGATTTAGTTATGTTTCCCACCAATTCATAGCATACTGAAGAGGGAGATGACCAGGCAGTAAAATTCCACAGATGTCATAGGATATCACCTTACTGCAACAAGGACTTGAACGCTTATGTCAGGTAGTTGATGTCCTTTAATGTATGTGAACAAAAGTTGTTGATACAGCAATTTGAGTGGAAAGTTAATGATTTACCTCTGGAAGTGCATATTTAAGAGAAGGGATTATAAAAGCTTTGCAGGGTCAGCAGAGCACTGTAGGCTAAGGATATGCTTGAAGAAGATTGAGGTCATGTAGCCGATTGCACTTGGGAATAATTGCATTTGGCTAAAAACCTACCTTCAAGAGGCTTAGGGAAATAGCAGAAACCATCCTACATGACAATTCAAGCAATAAAAGGAAATGTTTATTTGCCTCACAAAGACTGAGAGGCCAGAGAGGAATTAATTCTCTATCAAGAAAGTAAAAAAGCCAACCAACTAAACATAGCTGCAGAGAAACCAGATACACAATTGGGACACCCATGAAAAGGGAGACCCAAGCCACTAAAGGAAGAAGACCATGAGCTTAAATCAGAAAAAATGGAGATATTCCTGCCAAGAGGTATTTACAAAAAGAAGAAGAAAAAGAAGAAGAAGAAGAAATTTTTCTAGATAGCTGAGATATAGAGAGAGAATGTTTTTCTGAGTTTTATGGGGAGCCAAGCTTTGAACAGATGGGGTGCAGTGGGGAAGATCATAGCCCAGCAAAAGATTAGAATAAGAAGAAGGCTTATACCTAAATTAGCCCAACCCCATGATTTGGAGATGAGAAAACTTAGGCCCAGAGAGGGGAAAATCTTGTTCTTGCTCTGACTCACACTACAGTGCTTGACTCCAGTGAGGATTGGTACCTAAGCTCCTTAACACCTAAATAATGCACTGTATTTCTGGAATAATTTCCTCCATGACCATATGAGTGGAACTCTTTTGGAATATTATTGTTATTTTGATCTCTTAAAATATAGCTATCTTGATGAGGTATACAAAGTTAGAGAATCAGTCATAAAATTGTAAGGGGGATAAAATTGCTCTCTTTCTTGACCTTTACTAATGGGTCTAGATGTCTGAGGATACTCCTTAGAGGTGAAATTTATGATTAGTATTTATCCTACAAGTAAGAAAATAAGGAACTGGAAAGTCAGTACTCTGGA